AAATCAAGCTTTTCAGTGAAAATAAAACCTTACACAGGCAAGCTGCGATGGTGGCTTTCAAGGCGCATTAGCTGACTCTACTTCACGCACAGCGTCTAGCCAGCGCGCAAGACCTCTTGTGGCAGCTGCATTGCCCAGCAGTGTCTCTCTCACTTGGCCTCATCCTCAGCCGCCACCTGCGTGCGTGGAACAGAGGGAATAATAACCGAAGCAAACGGCCAAACAGGCCTGCTTGCGCTTCTTGCTCCTCTTGGAGTTGACCTCCACAGTAAAAGACAAAGAGACAACACTCAAGGCCACGATCCCAAGTGGCCGCGCCTGTCTTGAGAGGGACGACCAATGTGTGTTGCACAGCTGGTCGCCGATCACGAGGTCGTTTTTCGACCTGAACAGTAGGAGTTCCTGACTCACAGCCGCTTCACTCTTCTTCTCGCTCCAGAAACTTAGACCCATGCGTCGTCTTCCAGCACTTCTCGGCAGCCTTCTCAATGTGGGTCAGACTTTGCACCCGCCCCAGCGCGGGACGGCCGCACATGCAGCAGACGACCTCAATACGTCCAAACATTTAACAACTTCAAGCCGTTCAAGCAGCAAGCCGATTGCACCTTCGGAGCCAAGTCCTTGTCCACAGTTGGACCTCGTGAGTGCCCGGCCCCTACACTTCCTGCAAAGACCACACCACTCAGAGCTGGGCGAAGCAGCTTGCTGACTTCCCGCCGAGTCTCCAAAGGAAGTTCCTCGTGAGGATTCAACTGACTTTCTACAGCCACACATACTTGGCCCAAGGCCTCAAAAACCTTGGCAATGTCTGCCACAGTCAGCTTCGTGACCATCTTGGCAGCGATCTCTGCGGGCGTCTGAGGCCTCGCAACAAGAACAACAACAACAACAGCACACGTTGCACCGGCTAGCTGCTTAGCAGACCGAGGCTCCCCGCATTGGAAGGCTGAGTGCAAAGTCTCACCAAAGCTTAGAAGCACAGGCTACCACCTTGTGAACGGCTGCAATCGAGCGCAAAGGATAG